AAAAAAAACAATTTTACATAATTATAATTTTAATTTGCTTCTTTTAATTCAAAAATCCTTTCTTGAATGTCTGGTATACTGCAGGTATGTGCTAGGCAACAAAGAATGAATAAAAAATGAATAAGACATAGTCCCCATATTTTCAAAGAGTTCATAGTCTAACAGATTTATAAGAAGGCAAGTAACCAACAATTGTAAGAGGGTGGTAGAGAATATAACCAAAATAGGCTCAGGTAGTATCAGTAAGTTTGCCAGAGGGTCAATGGTTAAATAGTCTTGAAGGATAAGCAAGAAAGTCTCTGCGGAGCAATGGTGGAAGAGGACAGTGGAAAAGAAGGAAGAGGCCAGGCCTTGCAGGCATGAAGACACATCTGCGTACGACAGGGAGCTTCTGAAGGACATGAGGAATTACAAGCTCAGGCTTAGATTCCAGAAGGAAAACTGCGGCAACAGTGTGGAGGATGGACGAAAGGGAAACTGAGAATGAAGAGAGGACAAGGGAGGCAAAAGATAATTTAGGAAGCAGAACTGACGAGAGGCTGTTGAATCTGGAATGACTCCCCATTTCTGGCTGAAGCCAGTGGCAGAGCAAGAGGCAGAAAGAGGCTTGGCAGGATGAGAGGCTGAGCCCCATGTGAGGTGAAGCCTCATGGCGGCAGGAGTCTTCTGTTCAGGGTTGTGGCTCCCCAGACCCACGTGATGCTGCGATGAATCTTTACTGAGGATTTTTCTATGTAGGCCTAGATCTCAGGGGAAAAGTTCTGGATGCATGATTAGATAAATATCCAAAAAAATAGGCCAAGGGCTGCACCTTAGTAAATCATAACTATTAAAGGAATGAGGAAATGGAATAGAAGATCACAGGCCAGAAAAGGAGAGTGAGAAGCAACAGGAGAGAATGTAATCATGGAAGCCAACAAAGCACGTACTGGGGAGAAAACATTCAACATTATCAAATGCCAAGGAAGGGTTAAGTCACATAAGTACATCAGACACTTCAGTACATATAGGAACATCCAGCAAGTTTGCAAACTTAGATATTATGATTTTACCGTATTGTAATATAACATCAGAAAACTATTTATTATGTGTAGTAACCTGTGCTTGCAGACCTTATGGACACTCTACACCCTGGGTTTACAAACTCAGAGGTCCTTCTTTGCAAGAACGCTTTCAAGGAGGCAAGGTGAGAGTGAATGGGATGAGAAATCAACAGAGCCTGAGGAAGAACAAACAGGGAGCCCACAGTGTTTGTTCACGACGTTCTGCTGGGAAGGAAGGAGGGACTAGGGTAGTAGAAAGAAAAACACAGACTCCAGGGAAGCGTGTGTAGTTTTGGGCACGTTACACCAGGCCAGGCATATGCAGCTCAGCGCCCGGGCACTGCTGTACTCACTGGTTCTTCACAAAGGCGTGCTTGTTGATGGTCTCCACGACATCTCTGAAGAGGATTTTTGAAGTGAGAGTATAGCCGTGGTGCACGACTGGTTCTCCATCTGGGCCATCCCAGCAGTCAACTGCCAAAAACAGAACTCACGTCAACAACCCAACATCACTGGTGTTTATTAGTATTTCTGAAAATATCAGACACATGTTATTTTAAGTTTATTATTTGAAATTATACTATTCAATCATGACAAACATGTCAGACAGAGAAATGGGTGGTCTGTTTTTGAGTGTAGTTAAAAAGATGTCATATGCTTAAGCAGCCCTGGAATTGACCAAAAACTCTCATTAAATTTATCTACGTCTAATCCAGTGTGCCCAAGAACAGTGATATTTCTTAATAGATTGTTTCTCCAATTTCTCTTCTTCCTCCTCTGGTTACTAAGGTCTTTTAGTAAGTTGCAGTGTCCTTCTCAAATCAATAACCAAGTTTTCATTACTGCTCACTTAAATTGATTATGTTTCCATAAGATTTATTTCTATTTTATTACTTACGCAGTAGTTATAAAATAACATCAACTTCCTAAGTTCAAATTCTCAGGCCTTGCCAAGATTTATGTGAATATGGGCAAGTAAATTAATCATTTGAAACCTTGTTTTCCCCATCTAGAAGAGGAAAATAATGCCATTTGAGTGACAATCATGTACAGGTAGAGTGGCTCATTACACTGCACGGCACACGATAACTATTGTTATTGATAATATTGCTAGGTGTACATACGATCTCATTGACTCCCAGATGGAGAGAGACAACAGCTTCTCACCATCCTCCGTGACCTGCAG